GGGGGAGAGCCTTCTCTGTTGCTGCTCCGGCCCTCTGGAACGAGCTCCCCGTGGAGATCCTGACCCTTACTACCCTCCCGGCCTTCCGTAAAGCTACTAAGTCCTGGCTGTTCCGGCAGGCTGGGGGCTGTTGAAGTAGCCAGCCCCACTTCAGTTGTGAATGTTGTTGTATTTTATATTGTTGTATCGTCTTATTTATTCCCCTTTCCCTGTTTTATTTTAGCCGCCCGGAGTCCTTCGGGAGTGGGCGGCATACACAACTAATAAAACCAAACCAAACCAAACCACCCAATTTTCACAACCTCCGGGACACTGCAACCATCGTAAATACAGGTCAAACATCCACATTTTGACCATGCGACACTGCAACAGTCATACATAGATTGTAAGTAGTTTTTTTTGTCTTGTCCTAAATTCAAACAGTTGTTAAATGGTTGTAAGCTGAGAACGACCTGTGTCAAATCGAAGCCCTATTGAGCGTGAAATGAAATTTGGTTCCTAAGGATCTTCTGCCCACCCGCACTGTGCCATTGATTGACAACTGTTCCTTCTCACTGCAGTTTCTTTTCCAACAACTGATCCAAGGGTTGAAATCAGAAAGCCCATCCAAGCTGTGATAATCATTTCACCCTTCATCTCATTATTGGATTAATTTATTTATTGCGTTTGCTCCATAATCTGATGCAGGAGCTAATCAAAAAGCCTGAATTTTCAGAAGATTGAGAAAAAAAATGGCACGGATCAAAATAGGATTATAATAACTGCATTCATTCCATATGTTGAAGAACTAAGTTGCTACGGATATACTTTGCTTTTTTGGTGGGGGGGAGGCTCAGTGAACTCTGTTTTGCAGACAGAAAATGACCTTATTAATCTTATCAATAGCAATTATCATTGAAAAGGTTAATTTCTTCCTTCCTATATTTGTCATTAAGTTTATTTTCCAGCTCCTTCATGCTAAGATTTTAATATTTTAGAACATGATAAGAAAAAGAATATAAAGGAGCGTTTGGTTTTAGGGCTGCTGCCTGTTTCACAGCCAAAATATGCCAATTCTTGGCGGGAAAGCTCACCACGATTCCACAATATATCTGACTTTTTATACCATTTCTTCCAAAAGGCTCCTTTCTGTGTTTTTCTCTGCTGAACGAGAGGACCTTGAAATTAAGGCGAAGACCTCGAAGTTCTCCCAAGAAAGGAGCGGAAACCGAGTAGAAACGGCCAAATTTTATTCCGGGGTCTCCATTCGGAGCTGCTTTGCAAGGAAAAGGGGGGTCTTCCTGTCGCACAGTAAGAAAGAGGGAGACTCCGACACAATCGGGGGTTGAGGGCCGGGAAATCTGCTTCCTCCAGACGTTCTGAGTAAGAGAGACGCGTGTTGGAAGGAAGGAAACGGCGTTTTTCTTCCCTGAAGCGAAGCGGCGCCGTTCCCGAGAGAGCCCAGCGGAGGATTCACCCGGGAATGGTGGGTGGGGGGAGCTGGGCAGAGGATCCCTGCAGATCCTCTCCGCCTCTTCCTGGTTTAGCTGAAGGCTTTCCGTTAGCTTCCCTTCGGATTGAGGGGTTTCTGTGACCCACAGGTTTTCCCTGTCTATGGGGTGCGCTTCCCCTCCCTCATCCAGCGCAGCACCTCTTCCTACGGCAAAAATCCTCTGTATGTGTGTCTTTGTGTGAGTGTCTTTGTCTGTGTTTAGCTTTCTGTGTGTATGTGTGTTTTCTGAATTAATGGGAGAAAGCACTGATTTCGGACGGGAAATGGGAAGGGAAAGAACCAGCGGCAGCACCAATGGGAATTCTCCCTGCTTGAGCGTCATCGGTCTCCGGGNGTATAGAGTCTCCTGCTTGAACAGGGAGTTGAACTAGAAGACCTCCAAGGTCCCTTCCAACTCTTATTCAATTAAAAGATCTCCAACACCCCCCGCCCCCCCTTATCTGTTATTCTGTATACTTTAAATCTGCATTCCAGCTGTTGGTAGCAAAAGAAAATGGGAGAGGGAAAACTGCAAAGCTACTTGTCTATGGAGATTCTCAGTCATCCAGGTCATGGTTGTCCCAAAGGTTCTTTTTCCAGAGGTTTATCTGTGTTGTCAAGGTCATCTGAGTAGCGCAAACGGGTGTGGAGCCTTCTTGGAATTGTTGACTGTGTTGTAGACTGGAGTTAGATGATGTCATAGTTTTCCCCCTGTTGAGAAAGGGCTGTTCAATTTTGACATAGAGGGCCTCTTTGACCTGTCTTTCAAACAAGCCAGTCCTCTCTGTCCAAAATTTGGACTTTGTTGTCTTCAAAAGAATGGCCTCTGTCTTTTAAATACAGATGGACTGCTGAATCTAGTCCTGATGGCTTTGTATGTTGGGTCAAATAACAAAGCTACTTCTCCAAAGATTATTGGCAAACTGCAAGGGAGTATAGAAATTGCAGGAAGTGGCTCCTTCCAATGGGAAACTGCCCATTGTAAAACTCTTGTGTTCCCGCTTTTCTTTGGGGCAGTTACTGAATTGAATTGATTTGAGTCAACTTGAAAAGACTCCATAAATCCAATTGCATCATAGAGATCCAGAAATGTAGCACTGCTTGCAGATTATTTGTTGTGGAAGGGGGTTGTGTACCTTAATGATTAAGTGGCTATAAGAGGGACAGTAACAGCTGTGAGAAAATGTGGTAGGCCAGCACAGGTTGGCATGTCCTATTGCTGGCTGAACAGTACTGAATTTAGGCCTTACTAACACCTGTGTTTCACACCTGACAGTATGAATTCAAAGCCAAAAGTATAAAGAAGAAGAAAGTGAATCTGTTGGTATCTGTAGATGGGGTGAAAGTGGTACTGAAGAAGAAGAAGAAGGTAAGTTTTTCATTTTTAAAACTTGTATTCTGTTCTACAATTAAAAATTCCTTTTTGTAAATTACAAGTGCTTTGGAAATTTTGGTCTCTGAAATAATATCTGTACAAGTAATCTTTGATTATGGTCAGTTGAATAGCAACCATTCAAAGGTGCTACAAACCCCTCTCCCCAAAGCTACCTATGACTTGGTTTCAAAGTTTTGTCTGTTGCAGTGAGACTGTGGTTGTTTACTCTTGCAGCCACCATTTTTTCTCATTTCTGCCCTCCCCAGCCCCCAGGAGCTCTCTGAAAGCCTCCATAAGACTATGCACGGCCATTTTGGTGAAGGCTTCAGGAGGCAAAAAAATGCTGTATTCGATGTATAAGATGCACCCAGATTTTCAGCCTCTTTTTTGAGGGAAAAAGGTGCTTCTTATATTCCAAAAAATATGGTATACTATTCTATTTTCTATTTTCCCTGTAAAAAAAGGAATCTTTCTGACTAAGTGGTGATGACAGATGATATTAAGCCATCTGCTAAAAGGGTCATTCCATGTCAAGTGATCTGATTCTATTAAACAAAATAATAAAAACATTCTCATGAGGGATCTCCATCTAGATAATTTGATCAAAAACGACTGCAGCTCTGATTTAAATTAATTTCCTATGAATTAATGGAACTTAAAATAATTTGACCCCCCCTCTGCATATAGGAACTGTTTTTCTTTTTTTACTGCTCTCACATACAGAAACATATCACACTTAGAATACTGCATCCGGTTTTGCTCATTATTAAAAAAAAAAGACTCTGGGAGGAGTGCAGCAAAGAACAACAAAGATGATTAGGGGTCTGAAGACTAAAACATGAGGAATGGTTGCAGGAATTGGGTTTGTCTAGTCTACTGAAAAGAAGGACTGGAAGTGATATGATAATAGTGTTTCAATATTGGAGGGGCTGCCACAAAGAAGGGAGGCTCAATCTATTTTCCAAAGAACCAAAAAGGCAAGACAAGAAACAATCGATGGAAGCTAATCAAGGAGAGAAGTAACCTAGAAGTAAGAAAAAAGTTTCCTAACGGTGAGAACAATTAACCAGTGAAACGGCTTAGCTTCAGATGTTGTAGGTGCTTCATCATTCAAGGTTTTTAAGAATAATAGCAATAGCAATAGCAGTAGACTTATATACCGCTTCATAGGCCTTTCAGGCCTCTCTAAGCGGTTTAC